AAAGACGGTGTAGGAAAATGTAAAAAAAAAAAAAATAATTGAACATATAATTTCAAAGAAAGAAAACAAAAAAGAAATAATGGTTATAAAAATAAAGAAAAAAAAGTAAACAAAGAAAGAAAGAAGGATGAAAATGAATAAAGAAAGAAAAAAGGATGAAAGGAAGGAAGGAAAGAAGGAAGGAATAAATAGTGGGAGGGAGGGAGGATGAAAGAGAAAAGAAAAGCTATAAATGTTATAATGTAAAGAAAAGTAAACAAAGAAAGAAATAGGATGAAAAGAAAGAGAGAAAGAAAGAAGGAAGGAAGGAAGGAAGAAAGGAAGAGAGGGAGAGAGGGATTGAGGAAAAAGCAAAAGAAAAGATATAACAGTTATAATGAAACAAAAACTAAATAAAGAAAGAAAAAGAGTGAAATAAATAAATAAATAAAGAAAGAATGGAAATTCAAGAAGGAAAAAGAAAGAATGCAGAAAAGAAAGAAAATAGAAAATATAGACTTAAAAGAAAGAGAGAAAGAAAGAAAGAAAGAAAGAAAGAAAGAAAGAAAAATTGGAAAATTGAGAAGGAAAAGAAAAGAAAAAAGCAAAGAAAGAAAATGTAAAATATAGTCGTTCAATAAAGAAAGAAAGAAAGAAAGAAAGAAAGAAAGAAAAAATGGAAATTCGAGAAGGAAAAAGAAAGGAAACTAGAAACAAAATAGAAAATATAGGCTTGAAAGAAAGAAAGAAAGAAAGAAAGAAAGAATGGAAATTCGAGAAGGAAAAAGAAAGGAAACTAGAAACAAAATAGAAAATATAGGCTTGAAAGAAAGAAAGAAAGAAAGAAAGAAAGAAAGAAAGAAAGAAAGAAAGAAAAAAATGAAAATTCGAGAAGGAAAAAGAAAAGAAACTAGAAACAAAATAGAAAATATAGGCTTGAAAGAAAGAAAGAAAGAAAGAAAGAAAGAAAAAATGGAAATTCGAGAAGGAAAAAGAAAGGAAACAAGAAACAAAATAGAAAATATAGGCTTGAAAGAAAGAAAGAAAGAAAGAAAGAAAGAAAGAATGGAAATTCGAGAAGGAAAAAGAAAGGAAACAAGAAACAAAATAGAAAATATAGGCTTGAAAGAAAGAAAGAAAGAAAGAAAGAAAGAAAGAAAGAAAACAATTGATAAAGAAAAAGTTGAATAAAACAAGTTCGAAATCTGTGCACGAAATGAAAAATAAAAATGGCAAAAGACAGACTGAATGAAAAAGCAAGAAATATTCTTAATTAAAGAAAAAGAAAAAAGAAAACCATGGGTAAAGAAAAAGGGAAATGAAATCTATAGAAAAGCGATTCACAATAATGAAAAATGAAATAAAAAAAGAAAGAACATATGTCTGAAGAAAAATGAAGAAGGAAGAAGTGGCGAAGAAAAGAAAAATCGAAAAAAGTTACTTTTCTTTTCAATGTCATTTTTTTATTTTTTGTCTTATAAAATATATTTTTCTTTCTTTTTTCTTTCTTTCAATCTTTCTTTTTTTCAATCTTTCTTTCTTTCTTTCTTTCAATCTTTCTTTCTTTCTTTCAATCTTTCCTTTATCTTCACCATTCTTTACTATATTTGTTGATTATTTTAATGAAAATACAAGAAATTCAGATAAAGAGAAGAAAAAAATCAAAATTATAATAATAAAAGAAAATCAACTTGAAAAAGATAGATGGGGGTGAAGCTCTTAAAAAAACGAACATTATCATGAAATCTAAATCACGCCCCTTTTTTCAACCTTATCCCCTTCGTATTCACTCAGGTCATAGTAGATTTTACAACAAAGCAAAAAGTGATCATGGGAGAATGGAAATACGAGAAACTGAAAATAAAAAAAGAAGAAAACAAATAAAGAATCAGCGCTAAAAGAGAAGGTGAAGCAAAGTTAAAGGGGGGGGAACAAAAAAAAAAGGATAAAAGTAACAACAGAAAGAGTAAAAAGAGGGAGTTACTAATTCTGGTACGAAAAGGGCGTCCCAATTCTAATGAAGACAGTAAGGTTCCTTAGAATCATTCTGTTACATTTCTGTGGTGCCACCAAAAGTCGATCACTCTTTAAACATACAACAAATTCTTATTTTTATCAAAGACAAGACAGTCGAATAAAATGCTAACAGAGAGACTAAAAGAAATGTCCTTACTTTTGAGTTGTAACTTGAAGAGATGAAAAAACACAGGTAGAAACAAAAATTACTCCCTGTAAACCATTCCAACTGAATTGTATTTTTCTTCTATCGAGCATCTCCTTTCTTTTCTGATTTTTATTCTTTTATTTTTCTTTCTTGCGTTTTTCATTCATACTTCAATCCTCCCCCTGATTTTTCATCGTTCTTGTATTTTCAATTTCCTTTTTTTCTCTCTTTCGTTTTTCATTCTTTACTCTGTTTCGCCCATGTTAATTTTTCTTTAAATTTTTCATTCTTTCTCATCTTTTCTTCAAGTTTCTTACTTTTCCCTATTTTCTTTTTTTCATTAATGTTTTCTCAATCTTTCCATCTTTTTATTTTATTTTAAATATTTTTCTTCTTCTATTTTAATTATTCTTTGCTTGTTTTGTATTTTAAATTCTTGTCTGCATTTTTCATTCTTTCTTCCATTTTATTTTCATTCCCTTATTGTCTTGTATTTTGTTTCTTTCTCGTTCTTTACGTATTTTCCTTTATTTCTTGTATTTTCCTTCGTTTTTTCATTTCCTTACATCTTTCATTCTTTCTTCCAGGTTTATATTAATGTTCCTTAATTATCTTTTCTTTTCTCGTTTTCCTCTTTCATATCATTTATCATTTTTAAGGAATTTTCATTTAACTCTTCTTCAATTATTTCTTTTTTCATTGCTTATTTTCGTTCGTATTGATACTCTTCCTGATTTTCCTAAAACACTGCTTTTTTTATTTTCATTCTTTCTCCTTTTTTTCTATTTTATTCTCTTTCTTTTTCTGATTGCCCCCACATCACCACCATTTATTTTCTTTTATATTTTTTATTTACAAATTTCAATCTTCGTTATTCCTTCATGTTACTTCTCAGATTTCCTTCTGCATTCCTTCATTTTGCTTTCTAATTTCCTGACTATTTTTCTTTCTTTCGGATAGTTATAGTGATTTTCCAAGAGTAGCTGGGATGTGGCACAAGGCCGAAAGTAAGGGGTACCCAGTGAGGATTGAACTCACTACTCAGTCGTAATTGTTCTAGCGAGACAAGCTTGCTAACCATTACACCACATCAAGGTACATGCATTTTATTAGGATGCAGATTATTATGAAACAAAGTGAAGAGAAGTAACGAAGTAGAAAACATTATTAATGAAGCCGCGTTTCGCCGACGTGTGTTAAGTTCGGCTTCTTCAACTTAGAACAAAATACAGAACTGTGTGTACTGAAAATATGTTGAGTGTTTTGAGGACAAGAAGGACAATAAATTAGATTATGCGAAAAAAAATATGACGACCAGAGACCAAATCTTTTTGTGGGGTAGTTTAGAAGAAATAGCTTGCCCGTAAGACCTTGCGTCTTATTTTTCCAATATATATATATATATATATATATATATATATATATAAAGGCAATCTTTATGTTTATACGTTATTTTTATAAATACAAATATTTAAGTAAATTCTCTGTTTATAATGAACTGTATTAACGACATTTACCGGCCTGAATATCCGAGAAATTTTCATACACAAATATGCGTCCTCCGACAGGAATGAAACCTGTATCCTATATGGAACCGTCATACAACCTGACGTGCTTTTACCGATTGAGCCACAGAGGAGCGTTTCGGCTAGCAACGTCGATTTTGTTGTTTTTAAACTACGATTCTCTATGGATTTCTCTTGTACAATCATATCTGCTCGATGCGTATCTAAATGTAAACAAATGACGTCACAAATTATGAAATGGACAAAGTCCGAAAATTATTTTAAGACATTTTTTTTTATGTTTTTAGGTTCTTTTTACAGATAATAAATAATTTTCATATATATATATATATATATATATATATATATATATATATATATATATAGTCATCCACAGAAAGACTGATTCGCTGTATCACAGCCCATCAGGGTGTATAGGTATCCGATTACTTCAAGCCGGGATCGAAATTTAACCGATTTGTCATCAGTTAGAGAATCTATCCCTTGCGGTTAAAATCCTGGTAGTAAGTTTTCAAATATTTTTCCTCTGCATTTCCTCTGAAATTGGAATATTGTATTGTGCACTTTTTAGTGATTGCACCTTTTAGGTGCAGCTTTTTTCAGTCTTCTTTGAAATATATTATTTTACATTGTAATATATATATATATATAATTTTTTTCTTATAGACAAAAACAGTTTACTCACTACATAGATGTAACTTCGTTTCGGTGCATTTCAATTGCACCTCGAATACTGTGAACGTTAGAATTTATATATTATTTTCGTTCTCATTGCATCCGATATATATATATATATATATATATATATATATATATATATATATATATATGTGTGTGTGTGTGTGTGTGTGTGTGTGTGTGTGTGTGTGTGTGTTTTGAAAAAAAAATATATTGATAAATTAAAATTTTCAGTCACACTTTGCTAGTATATTAATATTTTTTTGTTTTATTATTTCATTTAGATTCCTCAGCTCGGCCAGTATAGTCATCATCCTATGAAATAAGAATTCCGCTTAACAGTAGCAGTGAACTACAGGAATGTATGTACTACAGAAGCTAAAGGAATGAACTGCAGTATGAATATATATATATATATATATATATATATATATATATATATATATATACCAATTATCTCTCAGGCTGTATCGATGCGAATCGAATCGGGCCTATATCTCTCAATATCAGGGAAGAAGCAAACGTTCTTCAATAAAAGATTAGTAATAATATAGTGCATATCCATTTGACATGAAACAAGATGTTTTTATTTTGCCTGTTTTTTTTCTCTGTTTCATATCCAGAGCCAAAGTAACGTCTGAATATCTACTCCCTCACCTGCACCCCGGAAGCAAAACATCAGACCCTTCCTCTACAGAGTACTGCTTACTTGGAAAAAGATTTCCAAAGACTCGACCCACGGTGGAAACACTTCGTAAATAGGTATAAGAGCAAAGCAGACAAAGGGGAAAAAAAAAGAATCGAGATTTGAAAAGGTAAAGCGGTGGGGAGTTAAGATGGGAATCGTGGGTAAAATGTTTTAGGAAAGAGTGAAGAAATGTTAGCAGGTTGGGGCCGGGTAAAATCTGGAACGTTGAGACCGAGAGACGGGCAAAGAGACAGAGAATGTGGCGGGGTGAAATGAATATAGAGAAGAAAGACATGTCTTCAACCCCGTGCAGAATGTTCATATCGAAGAGGCAATATGAAGATAACAACACGCGATGGCTGTCCGAGATTTAACGACATCAATTTGAGAAGGAACACAGAAGGTGACAAAGTCTACGGCTTTGCGGATAAATTGCTTACAGAAAACGGAAACCTCCCTAAGACATTTTTTCTTCTCTCGCGCAGTCCTAATTTCATTTGTTCTTTTTTGCTTATTTTTTTTTTTTTTTACTTTTATTCATAGCTCTGGGTTTTAATTTTGTATATGTTTCTTCTTTGCCAATGGTATTTTTTGACAGGTGGTATTGTTTCACACCTTGTTTTTGTGTTTATATATTTGTGTAAGTTTGCCTTTTTGCCCAGTCAACACCATCGTTACACTGGGACATGATTGTCTCACGGAAGAATTTATTTTGAATCTAATTTTTGAGGGCTATTCCTCCAAACTATCTATTTTAATCTTTTCATAGATATCTATCCTTTATCCTCTTCATATCTATCTATCTATCATCTTATATATATCTATATCATATATCTATATCTATATATATATATATATACCGATAGAGACAGAGATAAATAGACAGATATAGATAGATATGAAGAGGTTAAGTGATAGATAGATAGATAGATAGATAGATAGATAGATAGATAGATAGATAGATATATGGCTGGTCCTGCACGAGGCCTTCACCACTATAATCAAATCTCATGTGCCGGTGTCGGGATGTCGGTTTCCTGGGGACTTATCGGCCTGACCTCATACATCGAACGACAGGGGAGAGATTATATATATATATATATATATATATATATATATATATATATATATATATATATATATATATATATATATTATTAATAGAAATCTTATAAGTATAAGAAACAATACTGCTCGAAAACCTTTCAGTGTATTGATTTGCAAATAAACAAGCCAATACCAAAGAGAAAAAAGTATAAAAAAAAGAAAGAACCAAGAACATGTACGTTAACCGAAAATAAGCGTCCAGCAAACGAGGTCAAATCCCAAAGAAAAAAAAAACCCGATGCGAGTATCAAAAACAACTAAATAAATTGCTCAATACAATGAGTAGAGCAGACCTAGTTAAACCTAGAGAGCCAGACAAACTTACCAAGGTGCCACCTCAGCAGATCGTCAGGGAAGGCCAGCTTCCCTGACGATCCGCTTAGGTGAAACATTGGTAGGTTTGTCTGGCTCTCTAGATTTAACTAGGTATATATATATATATATATATATATATATATATATATATATATATATATATATATATATATATATGTGTGTGTGTATTCTTTATTCATCTATTTGAATGTATTATCTATGTAGCTATCTCTTACCTCTTCATATCTATATCTATATCTACAAATTTATCGCTATATCTGTCGATATATATAAATATTCTTTATCTATCTATTTGAAAGTATTATCTCTCTACTTTGTTCTATCTATCTATCTATATATATATATATATATATATATATATATATATATATATCACATCATGTCTATAGGGCGTATATCAGTAGATGTTAATATGAACTGCCTAAAATAATGGGCCTTCTATTTCAAACACGGGTATCCATATCGATTTAAAAATAAATCCATTAGTTCTTTCGAAATTGCTTTGTTTACGTTTGTGATACGAAATCGAGCCGATACTGGATTTCAAGAAAATCTGACCTAGGGAAAGTGTGTCGCTTAAAATCGTAAATAGAAACCTGCCGGGCTGTGATGCCCTCTGTGGCCGAGTTGTCAAAATCATGCCGGATCAAATGGTGGTTTCTCAAAAAAAGTAGGACACAAATCCAGACTCTGCGGATTTTCTTTATTAAGGTGTATGCCGGTAGATGTAAGTCTCTATTCAAACAGAGAATCAACTAAAATAACGTTTGGAGTAATAAATATGTATACATGTATGAATGTATGTATGTATTTTCGCATTCTGACAATGAGACTCAGGTTCAAATCTCACCATGGTCGATTTGTCAGGAAGGAGACTTCCTGATGTTATCGGTTGAGTCGATCCCATCGTGCGGCACCTTTGGAAAATGCGTCAAAACCTTACCACCGGTTGGCTTTTGAGTGAAATTGATAAAGCGGATCCCCTGGTTGCCGTCGATAGCTGTGCTAGCACGAAAACACAAGTCATTGTGGCCGAGGGCTTGAACGTGCTGGCCTTGTTCAAATTGTTGATCACGCTAGATAACACGCTCTTTCCCAGAAACTAACTAAGGACAGTTCAACATAGTTGCTGGTGAGCTCTGAGGGTGTTGGAGAAACATAAATGTATAAATGTGCATGAGCGAACGTCTGCAATAGGGATTGGCTAGCCACCCTAGTAGACGGGTATCCTCGGATATTCGTGTGCAGCTATACAATGTATGTATATATATGTGTGTATTTGTTTGTTTGTGTGTGTATGTGTATGTGTGTGTGTCAGTTTGTTTCATAATTTATATACATATTGCTATATCGAAGGAATCTGGGAACACAAGCATAGACACACAGACGCATTCAGATGCACGCACATAGTGGATTTGATTTATTTACTTTTTTATGGTGTGTCAACCCTTTATTGTATATTTAAAGCCAATGCATATATTTGATTTTAAGTATAATTCTTTTATGTTGCGAGTCAATATTACATTAACAATTTTCTGAGAATATCAATGATTTTCCAGGTATATTTCTCCGTGCAGCGTTCTTGAACCCGTGAGCCCGAGCACACTAGTGCACCCGGGTTCACCAGTTCAGAAATACCATTTTGAAAAAAAAAAAAAACATTATCAGCATTAAAAATCTTGTCGACATTAAATAACGCATTGAAGTCCATATGCCGTAAAACAAAACAAAAACCAAACCAATAAAGCACATTAAAAATTATCTAAAAAAAAAAAAAAAAAAAAAGGAAGAATAAAAACAGACGAAATAAAATAGGATGCAAACTGTCGATTGAAAAAATTCCTTTGGAAAAAGAAATGAGACATCGTAAATCCAAAGTCAATCTGCAATCAATGAAACTAACACTGGTAGGAATTGAAGAACTTTATATCACAAGAAATTCCACAATATTCAGATGTTGAATTCAGAAAAAGTACCATTCCAAATTGGAAAGATTAAAGGCGGCAATCGGTGAAAAGAGTCCGGAACTGACCTATCGGATGAGCGCTGGCTACAATCAGGACAAAGCTGGCCGAAATGTCTCCTAGCAAACTCAGCAAAATTGGCAGGGCTTGGCTGATATGTCCAGCTACACCAGCCGTACTCACGTGAATTTGAACCTTACGATTATCTCTTTTATTCGATTCGTACTAATTCAGTTCTCAATTTAATTCAAAACTCTTTAATTCAACTCTTTAATTTACTGTAAGTCTTTAAAACAACTTAAACATCAAACAGAATGTTGTCACATTCTCGGAGGACATAACCCTGAAGAAGGAGAAATTTAGTGAAACAAATAATATATTATTATTATTATTATTATTATTATTATTATTATTATTATTTTATCAGAAGAAATTTTAATAAGAATATGTTGAAATAGCTGCACAAAAGTTTTCATGTTTCAATACTATGATTCTACTTCTTCAGGTGATGTTAAGTAACTTGGGATTAAATGATTTTTAAGGGAATTTTAAAAACATTGGTTGCCTCTTGTGAGGATGATCTTGCTAATTCAACCAATTTCTGGACTGGTTGGGTTCATAACCCTGGTTGTTTCTATACATATATATATATATATATATATATATATATATATATATATATGGGGGGGTTGCTTCTAAAGAAAATAACTGGTTCTAAATTCAAACACTGTGACGTTTCTAGAGAATCTCTTTTACGTGAAGGTTCTCAAATTTGAAATTTAAAAGTTAGAATAAGCCCTCGTTCGCTCAGAGAATATATAATTATGGGGTCTGAAAATATATGTTCCCATTTTTCTTAAGACATCCACATTGCATAAGCGCTGAATCTATGGTATTCTCAATATCCTTCTGTAGAACCACACCCTTGTTGCCTCAATATGCTTCTTCATCTGCGAAGAGATTCTGCAGCATTCACTATATAAAAGAATAAAATCAATAGTTGAAATATTAACGAAAGCCAATATTAAGATTTGAATAAAGGCAATAACTCACGTGTTTGTCAAAGGTATGCTTCTGTGGCTGATATGTATTTTTTATTTACTTTAATTAGGTGATTCATCGAGTCTAGAAGAATCGTCAACAGAATTCAGAAACAAATGAACGGCCGTTTCTTCCTATTCTTGGGACTCCTCAGCCGGGCGCATACACTGCCGAGAATCGACCACAGACCGTTACGATATGACACAGGCATCATACCCACTGGACCAACGGGTCTCTGTGACGAAGAAACGACTAACTTGACCCGATATAGCGCCTTTACAAATTCCTTTGTATGACTCATCCAAGTTTACTAATACCTTTGTTACATATCCGACATAGAGACACTTTGCTCTAGTGGGTATGGCGTTTGTGTCATATCGTGACGGTATGGGTTCGATTCTCGCTAGTGGATGCTCACTGCTGATTCCCGTAATGATTTTTATTTATTTGTATATATATATATGCCGCTCTCTGACATTTCTGAAAAATAAGATAAGATATTCTATTTGTATAGATTATTAAAAGAGAAGGAATCATCCATAAATTTACTAAGTAAAGTTGATTTACATCCCATCCCACTACAGATGGGACAGGAAATATATAAATTTATATTCATTAAGATTTATTAAATGACGTGATGGTGAAAATTTACAAGCATCATTATCGCTTATAATATTTTTTTTCATTTATATTTTATACACACACACACACACACACATATATATATATATATATATATATATATATATATATATATATATATGATATGCTATTCATCTCTTTTCTATTTCTCTATTTATATATATATATATATATATATATATATATATATATATATATATATATATATATATATATATATATATATATATATATATGTATATATATATGCGCTATATTTATGGGATAAAGTGTTCAATATCACAGATAGAGCGTATGTAAATATAAATATAAAAGTGAACATTGAAGTCAACACTAGAGCGACAGTCTGTTTCATGCTAGAGGCAATCTAGCATGAAACAGCCTATATATATATATATATATATATATATATATATATATATATATATATATATATATAAAGATATATAGATATATATAAGGGAAAGACAGGGTGAGAGAGATAGAAAGATGGAGATAAGATTGAAGAGAGAGGTATATATAGAGAGAAACGGTAGCTCGCAGCTTGTATACAATTATACTTGTCTACAAGGGGGGATTGCGAATCCCTGTTGCAGGCCCATCCTCAGACACATTTGTGTTTCTTCAACATTCACAGAGCCCATCTGTTTATATTACAACCTTGCTGAGCGGACTGTAGTTATAGCTTCTGAGAGGGAGAGAGAGAGAGAAATAGAGCGTGTATGAGTGTGTGTATGTGAGAGAGAGAGAGAGAGAGTGAGAGAATCGTAGTGTGATCAGCAATTTGTGCAAAGCAAGTACATTCGAAAACTTGTTCACGATGACTTATAATTTCCTGGTCGCACAATGGTCGACGAGACATTCTGTCTGGCTAATTTCATTTACA